GAAGGACTGATGCTGAAGCTGAAACTCCAGTACTTTGGCCACCTCATGCAAAGAGTTAACTCATTGGAAAAGACCCTGATGCTGGGAGGGATTGGGGGCAGGTGGAGAAAGGGACGACAGAGGATGAGATGGCTGGATGGCATCACCAACTCGATAGACATGAGTTTGAGTAAACTCCGGGAGTTGGTGATGGACAGGGAGGCCTGGCGTGTTGCGATTCATGGGGCCACAAAGAGTTCGACACAACTGAGCGAATGAACTGAACTGAGCTGATGGATATCTGCCAATTAATCAACTTTCTTTATGTTGCTTATTATCTTCACTAAATTACCTCAATATTTTCCACATAGCAAAATATAACAATTATAGTGGATTTTTAACCCTTTGATCAATTCTAACCTGTGCTGGTACAATACTAAATCATGAAATATAGTTACAAGAAACATTTACTTAAATTTTAGCAATTCCTTCAGTTTTAGGTCAGTTCTTTCTACTTCTGTTAAAGTCAAGTAATATTAACCTTAAATCAGTTTACTAAACCTCCTCCTACAATACACCATATAAACAAACACATTAAAACCCATCCTTCTACAAAGTTAACTAGAATATGGCTGGCCAAATGGTAGCATCCTATAATTCTAGATCATAGAATTTTGAGTGACTTTTTGCTTTCTTCTTAACACTTACTAGTACTTCTTGAATTTTTAAAAAAGGAAATTATTTTGATAAAACTAAAAGCCTTATAATTCTTAAAAATTTTCAAGACTTCTAGAAAGAAAAAAAAGTTATCATATTTTCCAACAACTGGTTGGTCCAATATCAGCCTAAAGAAATGGATATTGAAAAAATAAGATATAATATGGTGTGACAGAGATTATGTAAACTTTACAGTCTCAAGAATTGACTTCAAATCCTGGCTTAATATAATATTCAGCATGCTACTTAATTTCCCCATTTGAACTTCTTCACGTTCCCCTCAACCTTAGTCCAACCTCACAGTACTAGCCAACAGAATCCACTCCACAATATGATGGCTTAGTACATCTCACCCTGCATCTTGGTAGAACTCTTCCAGTCACAGAATCACTACTTCTCTAGTTCTCTGTGAAGCTAAACCTTATACCTCAAGAGAGCCATCCTTGCTGGCACTGAGCAATGATTCAGGGGGAAGATTAAAGTTAGGTCAGGAAATAACAACTGACGTTAAAAATAACTTAAGATGTTTAGACATTAATCAGAAACAATAAGGAAAAGACTGTCCTTTATTTCTCTTCCTCCTTTTCATCAGACTCTCCATTTCTACTCATTTTAGTCTGGTTTTAACCTATTTAAGAACAGTTGTTGCAGGATCACAGTGTAAGTTGTATAGTGTTGGGCTGGCTCATACCCCAACCTCTTTAGGAACAGCCACAAAATCACATAACACGGGCTCTCATTGAGCAAAGTGTCTGCTGTGTTTAGAATGGCTTCTAGTGAAGATGCATCCTGTCCATTATGATTTTTGTGTAATAGATGAAGAACAGACACTGCTTCAGAAGGTTTTTAGCCTGTCTAAATCTATCCCAGATGTTCTGAAGTGGAATTGAAATAAAAAAACTCTAGTCTATATTCCTCATTAACATAGTCCCATGTTTCAGTGTTGGAAAGAGGAAGGAGAGAAAGAACTGTAATTACAAGGTGTTTTTTTCCCCTTTCTACAGATTACTAGAACATTCAAAGAGTCAGATTTAAAAAATCAGTTCATCAAAGCTCATGTCGTCAAACTGAGGTAAGTGGAACTACAATATATATAAGCCTAGATACAATTTGCTTCATTAGACTTTGTTCATAGCATAGATAATGAAAGAGACATTCATACAATGTGTTGCAATATCATGAAAATAGTATCACGGGCAGCTTAAAAAACAATGTCAAATTATCACATATGGTCTATATATCTAGTAATGTGAATGACTGTTACTTCAGTTCTTCATGAGAAAAGGAAGGCAGTTGGATGACAGTACAGTAAGAAGGCTATTTGTAAATTCAGGGGATACGATTCACAATGCAGTCTGTGTAAACAGTACCTTGTGGAGATGTGCAATGCTGAGATCCTGGGCATATTCACCCAAGATCGGAATGCTAAACCAACATCAAAAGTGGCTTTTCAGTTTTTGTCTCCCTGGAATGTTTTAAAGGATGCTGTGGCCAGATACAGACATGTCTGCAATGAATCAGTTAATAGGGGAAGTAACAGCATGCATATTTATTATTTTCCATTCCTACCTGAATGGAATACAGACCTATTCTTGTGATGTGATGTGATGTGATGTGATATCTCTCCTAACTATAATAGTTACCCTTACTGAAGTGAAAGTAAAAGTGACTGGCCCTACCACAAATGTCTCAAATGTCCCCACTGCTCAGTCCTTCAAATAACGTAAAAAAATTCTTCAGAAGAAAGAGAAATTATACTAATTCTTTCTCAAATACTAACACCACAAAAAGATTAATTTTTCTTATTCTTGATAGAGTCACCTAGCTAAATATAAGCATGGCGCTCTGGTCTTTTAAGTTTTGCTGAGGAGCCCGAGAAGTAAGAAGAATTCATGGGAAGAGTTTGTTTCAAAATGTATTTCAGTCAGTTCAGTGCACATTCACCTTAGTACTTTCTTGAGCAAGTCTCTGTACTAGCCACTAGTTGGCAATACTTGTAGAACTGAATTTGTATTTTTTTTTTCCTTTTGTTCACTTCCCACTTACTGCTCAATCCACTGCCCTCTGGCTTCTGATCTCACCACAAAATACTAGTTGTTCTTCCCAAGTTCAACAATGACATTTGAATCACAAATTCCCAAAAGAATCATATCAGTCCTCTTCTTGAACCTCTCAACTGACTTGGATGGGAGAACTTAGCACTGTTTTTATTCTTTTTTGAAACAGTGCCATCCCTTGGTTTCCATGACCCTCTACACTCTAATTTTCCTTTTACTTCTCAGTTTTATTTGTTAGCTCTTACTCTTTCTTTTTACATTCCTCAAATGTCTGACTGTGCGGTAAGCCTCTCATCGCACTGAAGCTCCTTTTAGAGGCTTCCCTGCCCACTATCCTGGGAAAGACTGAAGGCAGGAGGAGAAGGGAGATGAGACGGTTGGATGGCATCACCAACTCAACGGACATGAGTTTGAGTAAACTCCAGGAGCTGGTGACGGACAGGGAGGTCTGGGGTGCTGCAGTCCAGTCCATGGGGTCGCAAAGAGTCGGACACGACTGAGTGACTGAACTGAACTGAACTGCCCTCTATATGCTAATTATTATCAAAGTTGTATATCTGGGGCCAGGCCTCTTTTCTCCTCTCTAGATGTGAACATATACGGCCATCTACTTGATATCGTAATATGGCTATCTTGCAGATAACACAACGTTAATACATCCAGACCTGAACCTATCCTCTGTCTCCAATCAAATATGTGACTCATTTAGTGTTGCCTACCTCTGTCACCTTCAACCTAGTTGCTCAAGAAAGAAATATGAGAGTTATCTTTAATTCCTGTTTCGCCCTCAACCCATACATCCAATCATCTAACCTTCACAGTCCTGTTTCTTACAATGTTTAAGATCCATAACTTCAAACACTCTGTCCTCAGTCATCTCTCCTCTGGACTTGCACCACCTTCTGACGAATCTCCTCTCCTCGAGTCTTTCTCCATTCCACATTTCACATAGCAGCCAGTCAGATTTTTTTGAAATGATAAAGCTAAACATAGTATTTGCTTAAAGTTCTTCTAACTGCCACTCCTTACCCCTATGATATATAAACATATATTATGTCTGTACTTATAACATTATATGTGTATATATGTACATGTGTAACAGTATATTTTAAAACAGAAGAAGAACGGGGAAAAGTGGTGTGAGTGCGTTTATGTGTATTTCAGGCAGAAGGAATAGCTTATATATGAAGTTTTTGAGGTTAAAAAGAGTGAAAAGCTGAAAGCAGTCTAGTGGGACTGGTGAGTAAAGAACGACATCAGTTCAGTTCAGTTCAGTCACTCAGTCGTGTCCGACTCTTTGCAACCCCATGAACCGCAGCACGCAGGCCTCCCTGTCCATCAGCAACTCCTGGAGTTTACACAAANAACAGAAAATTATCATAATTGTACACTTAAAATATTTTTATGGCTATTCAGGCAAAGTGGAAATGACCTGATAGCAGATATTGTCATGAAATTTACATTCACCAGAAGAAACAATGAAGCATCAATGAAAAGTAGAATTGAGTCTATTTTACACCAAATGCCGAATAACTCTGAAGACTTCGAAATAACTCCAACTCAGTTAATAAGCAAGTATCATTTTTTTACATACCATTTCATATCAGTTTATCCCTCTACAAGTTCTGATTCATGTTTTTATTTAATGAGGGACTCTTTTTTCCTGAATTAAATTTTGTGAAAACAACTTACTATGAAGTTAAATGTAATACATAGTTCTCTAATATAAAATATTCTGATGTTTCAAAGAATCATATGCATTTCATAACTTTTATTTGCTAAAAATTCTTTATTATTTTCCCCCTGTCAACACTCTTTATGAGGGACACTGCTGTCAGATGTTCAATTGGTAGGTATGTTATAAGAATGGTAAATAGCTGTTCAAGGTCAGAGAACAGTTTAATTTAGGATCACCTCACTGAGAAAAGAGTATGTAATTGGAAGGTGTCTGGTAAATACTTGTAGAATAAATAAAGAAATTAGAAGATTTAACAGTATCTCTATCTCCTCTCTGAAAATCCACACAACTTCCGCCTGGAATGGAATTCTAGTTCCACTGCTTCCCATCCCTATTGTGATCACTGTGGTCTAAGCCAACATCATTTCTTACTTAAACTATTGTACTAGCCTCCAAACTATACTCCTTCTTTACTTTCACAGCCCTTCCAATGTATTGTCCGCATATTGGTAAGGAAATATTTTAAAATATAAATACAATCTTGCTTAAAAGTCCCCATGTATTCCCACAAAATGAAACAAAAATGCCACCTGTAAGCAGAATACCATATTTCCTGGTTTACTCAGGACAGTAACGGGGACCATGTCAATTGTCTAAGAACTATTATTAATATTACCCTTTACATGATCTGATTTGGACAGTAAATGATATGGTGATCTCATCTAAAGCACTGTATTATCTCATTCATGCTTCCCCCTGCAGCCATTTATTACGCTATTCTCTTCCTAATTTACCACAATCTTGGCCACACCTTTACTTTCTCCATCTGCAAAGATTCTCTCCTTCCTGCCCCAAGCCTTTGCATACATTGGTCCAGTTTCTTATAACACTTGCTAGATCACTCCCTTGCATCTGTCAAGTTATCATCTGGATCATTTCTTTCTAACCTAAGCCTTTTCTGACTTCCACTACTAAATTGTTTACCTCTGTCACCGACATCTTCATTTTCCTTCACAGCATTTATCATAATCGAAACTACAAACTTGTTCCCATGAGTCTGTAGTGTCTTCATCCTACTCTAAGTTCTGAAGGCAAGAACCAGTCTGCCTTTTTAATCCTCCTTACTTCTCTTACTCGGTATCTAGTACATAATAAGTACTCTATTAATATTTGTCACATAACTTTTAAAAAAGAAATTACTCAATTCATGTGTAGACACTCCTCCAACTTTGTCATGTACTACTATCTTAAGAAACCATGATTCACCTCATAATAAGCTCCAGATTAAGGGGTTTTGGTGATCCCACATTGGACTAGTAGTTAATCAACATACACTTGTTATAATTTTACCAGTGGTTAAAAGAATGAAATTCCTTCCTATCTGTTGGCAAATAACCACTACACCAGGCCCACAAAGTTGCCTCCCTAACTCCTCCAAATTCTTCTGTCTCTATCCTGGACTCCCAGCTCCTGACCCTGAAACTACAGAGTTGATGCTTAACACAGCAAGGACCTCTAAGACACTGCTCCGGCTCTGTGGGTGGTTGGGTACTGCCTGACTTGCTGATGCATATCAAGTCTGTTTCATTCCTACAACAACCACATACTGTAGATCCTTCTATTGTCCCCACTCAGAAAAGATAGATAACTGTCCAGGGCATATAGACAGGATGAAGGCTATTGTTAAAAGTAAAGGTGTCAAAAAAGAAAATACAGGTGTCGAATGATGAAAGCATGTACTCAAGTAGTAGCTAAAGGGATGGGAAAGATGGGGCTAATTCAAAGGGTAGTTAGATGCTAGAAGGTACAAAATCCAGAAGCCAATAAGATGTGAGAAATAGTGAGAAAGGAGTTAGAGACCGTTTCAGATTTCTAGCTATTGGTGGAAGTGATGTCATTTACTAAGTGTGTGTGTGTGTGTGTGTGTGTGTGTGTGTGTGTGTGTGTGTGTGTTAGTGGCTCAGTCGTGTGCAACTCTTTGAGACCTCATGGACCATAGCCCACTGGTCTCTTCTGTCCATGGGATTTTCCAGGCAAAGATATCAGAGTGGGTTGTCATTCTCTTCTCCAGGGGATCTTTCCAATCCAGGGATCGAACCTAGGTCTCTTGCATTGCAGGCAGATTATTTATCATCTGAGCCACCAGGGAAGTAATAAATTGGGGCTAAAATTTGGTGACACTGAGTTTAAGATGGCTGTAGGACATTCAGAGGAAACAGCTCTGTAAGCAGAAATTGAACTGGAATAGATAGGCCTTCAGTGTCTGGCACCAACATAGTTTCTTTCTGTGCTCTCCCATCACTTTCCTACATGAAAAATTTGTATTATCCCTACTGACTTCATTGCTCAACAAACATCTTCTATCTTCATGCATTTGTGCCACTATACCTTTCACCTGGAATGCCTTTCACCTCCTGGCTGCCTGAAAAATTGCTTTTAGGTATTCAAAATACAATTCAAATATTATTTTCACCATCACAACATCCGTGAATCAGACAGCATTAGTAATGCTCTCCTTTCTCCTCTCTACTTTGCATTTTAATTTATTTGAATGATTCCTTAATTAATTTCTTTCTATAAATTATATAAGAGCAAACCCCCTATGTTTTGTTATACCTGCAGTACTACAAATAATATCAGTCAAGGAATACAGATATAGTTATATGTGTGTGTGTGTGTGTGTGTGTGTGTATGTATATATATATATATATATACATTAGAATAAGTGAAAAATTAATTTCTCTATAGGCCTTCAGTGTCTGGCACCAACATAGTTTCTTTCTGTGCTCTCCCATCACTTTCCTACATGAAAAATTTGTATTATCTCTACTGACTTCATTGCTCAACAAACATCTTCTATCTTCATGCATTTGTGCCATTATACCTTTCACCTGGAATGCCTTTCACCTCTTGGCTGCCTGAAAAATTGCTTTTAGGTATTCAAAATACAATTCAAATATTATTTTCACCATCATAACATCCGTGAATCAGACAGCATTAGTAACGCTCTCTTTTCTCCTCTCTACTTTGCATTTAAATTTATTTGAATGATTCCTTAATTAATTTCTTTCTATAAATTATGTGAGAGCAAACCCCCTATGTTTTGTTATACCTGCAGTATACAAATAATATCAGTCAAGGAATACAGATATAGTTATATGTGTATATATATATATTAGAATAAGCGAAAAATTAATTTCTCTTAGAGAATTTATCACTTTGTATCTCAATGACTATGTTTCTGTTTTCCCAAGTAAACTGAGTGACTTGAGAACAGAAATATCTTTTAAATATCTTTTAACTGTTTGATGAGAAGTTAATGCACAAACTTTAGTGTGATTAATGACAAATTGGGGCAATAAAATAAATGCAGTTTTTTGCAGCCTGTGACTCAGATTCTCTCAGCAGGTCTGGGGTGGAGCCTAGGAATCTAAATTTAGCAGTCCTACAAATGATTCTGATTATGGTTATCTGAGGACTACACTTTAAGAGATTAATGTGAAATGATATACAGTCTTTTTTGTATTGATCTGACGACTCCTTTTTTTTAACACTAGCAATAACTGGCCAGGATACAGTACAACTGTTCACTCGAGGTAAGATTTTAAATTACTTTGTAAATGTGGTTTACCAAAATAACAAGAGTAAATGTTCAAGTGATTTGTACTCTTTGCCAAGGAAGTATCTATTGAGATGGTATTCTTAGTTTATTCATGTAGGTTGTTGTTGAGATTAGACACTGCTGACCTCATTGGGCTATGAAGTAATGGTCTGGTTTTCCCCTATTTTTAGAAGGAGGAAGAAATATCGGTGACATTACACCCACTCTGTATCAAGTTTGGTCTCATTAAAGTTTTCTCGGTAGCTTTGGGTAGTTTCTCCAAACCTGATTCTATGGTAGCATTTTAGCAGACTTGCAAATTATGTTTGGCTGCCCCATTTATATAGCTTTTCCTAACTACCAGAATAGTTTGCTTTGTGATAGATTTAAGTTAATCATAAAATATAATTTAAAAAATTGCAAAAAGCATTATCAGTTTTATGTCTATAACATAACATAAAAGTCAGGACTTTCCAATGTAATTATATATACTCTCAGGATTGGATAGCAGACATATAACCCCTAGGAAAGAGTAGTTTGCTTCTTGGGGCTGATAACATGTAGTTAGAAACTAGTTTAATATATCTTGATAGCTGGCCTATCTCAGATACTTAAGTGATATTATAAGTTAATACTTCCTCTATGGGTGTTTTTCAACTTCACGTGTATTTAACAATTAATGCTTCTTTTTTATTAGAATGTGCTTAAATAATTTACTAGGGCCTTCCCTGGTGGCTCAGATGGTAAAGAATCTGCTTGCAACTGGGAGATCCAGGTTCGATCCCTGGGTCAAGAAGATCTCCTGGAGAAGGGAATGGCAATCCACTCCAGTATTCTTGACTGGAGAATCCCATGGACAAAATAATTTACTAGAGAACTTCCTTGGAGTATGCAGCAAAGGAACCTATATGCCATTTATATTATTAATAGAAGTCTATTCCTCCTCCATCTGGGAGATCTGTTAGAAAATAAATGCCTTTGGATGGCATCCTATTGAAGTAATATCACTTACTTTAGAGCTGGTTCAGCAACAGAAATTTTTCATGGTGATTTACCTCTAATTTCTTAACAAGAAGATCTCCTGGAGAAGGGAATGGCAATCCACTCCAGTATTCTTGACTGGAGAATCCCATGGACAAAATAATTTACTAGAGAACTTCCTTGGAGTATGCAGCAAAGGAACCTATATGCCATTTATATTCTTAATAGAAGTCTATTCCTCCTCCATCTGGGAGATCTGTTAGAAAATAAATGCCTTTGGATGGCATCCTATTGAAGTAATATCACTTACTTTAGAGCTGGTTCAGCAACAGAAATTTTTCATGGTGATTTACCTCTAATTTCTTACTAACATACTAACCAAGAGGAAATAAACCATGAAATTAGGAATTGAGTGACCAAGCCCACTCCAGCACATTTCAGCTCTGGCCACTGGAGTGTCATGGACTTTCTTAAGACGTTTAAATAAACCTAATCTAGGTACTTAAAAACCCTCAATCACCCTCAAGAATATTCTGTGGACCTAAAGTAATTCCTTTTCTAGGGCCCATTTGGTAAGACAGAGTCAGTTATGGATGTGAACTGGTTCGTCCGCGGTGAACTGTATTACCACTACAGCCTTCATAATAAGGGCAGGTTCCCTCTAACATCACTATGCACATGAATCACTTGTTAAATGCAGCTGCTCAGAAGTTCTGGGAACATAATGTATGACTTGGTGACTCTAGTTAGTAATATGATATTATACATTTGAAAGCTGCTGAGAGTAGGTCATAAGTATTCTCATCAAACATACACACAAAAAATAAAAAAATATACACACAAAAATAAGTTAACTGTGTTAGGTATTGTGGGCTTCCCAAGTGATTCAGTGATAAAGAATCCACCTGCCAATGCAAAGATGCAGGAGACCTGGGTTCAATCCCTGGGTCAGGAAGATCCCCTAGAGGAGGAAATGACAACCTACACCAGTGTTCTTGCCTGGAAAATCCCATGGACAGAGGAGTCTGGCAGGCTACAGTTCATGGGGTCTCAAAGAGTTGGACACGACTAACTGACATGCCCATGCATCCATGTGTGAGGTGTTAGATGTGTTAATTATCTTGAAATTGGTAATCATTCTGCAGTGTATTTGTATATCATATCATGACATTGTACACTTTAAATATATACAATTTTATTTGTCAATTCCTTAGTAAAGTTGGAAGAAAAATGCAATTTTTTATTTGTTCCCTAATGTGAGTCTGACAGTCAACATTTCTTTTTGTTGTTGTTCATCTTTAATGTGGTACAGCTGACAAATAAAATTGTAATATATTTAAAGTGTACAATGTCATGATTTGATATATGTATATACTGCAAAAAGAGTTCCCTCATCTAGCTAATTAACACATTCATCACCTCATGTATTTATTACCTCCCTCCATTTTTTTTGGCAAGAACACTTAAGTTCTACTCTCTAGCAAATTTCAATTATATAATACAGTGCTGTCAGACATAGTCATAATGTTATACATTTGATTTTCAGACCTTATTCAGCTTATATCTGAAAGCTTATATCCTTTAATAAAACTCTTCCTATTTCCCCTGAACCCTGGCAACCACTTTCTACTGTTTCTAGGAGTTTGACTTTTTTTTTATTTCCACATAGAAGTGATACCATGCAGTATTTGCCTTTGTCTGGCTTATTTCCTTAGGACAATACCCTACAGTTTCATCCATGTTGTTGCAAGTGACAGGATTTCCTTCCTTTTTAAGGCTGTAAAACATTCCAATGTGTGTACATGTTTCTATGTGCATATATACCACTATTTCTTAATCCACACATCTACTTATAATCACTTAGGTTGTTTCCACACAGAGTCAACATTTCTATCAAGCTCTTTGGGGACACTCATGTTGCAGGTCCACAGACCACACTTTGAGTAGCAAGGTAATTGAGAAGATGGATATTCCCCAGGGAACCTGTGGCCTCAGCCAGTTCCTCTAGCACTGACCAACCTTAACTCCCACTTATGACGAATTCCATAGAACTCTGAATCTGCTCCACAGTTTGAAGGCTCCATGACAACCAAGTTCAGCAATGTTCTCTAAAATGAAGTCTATAGGTAACAGTCAGATAAGTACTCTAAAAGTATAACATATTGATCATGCTTTTGGAAAGCCTAGCATGTCCTGAGAAAGAATACATAAAAGACATAAAAGTCATAAGTTATGGTGAAACTCTTAGAGCATCTCCCAGATGTAAGCGTCATGATCTTCCCAGCACATTACTTCCCTTCCCCATTAGAATGTGGGGTCCGCTCGGGCCTGATAACCTTGTCTGAGGAGAGAATCATGGGAGGCCGTAAAGCTGAGGAAGGAGACTGGCCTTGGCAAGTCAGCCTCCAGTGGAGCAGCTCTCACCGCTGCGGAGGAGCCTTGATCAGTAACAGGTGGATCCTGTCAGCGGCTCACTGCTTCAGAAGGTAAGACTGCAGTGCCCTATCCATCTTAGCATGCCCTGTTTGTCTCAGTGAATACTTACATCTGTGTTAGAGGGTATGCATCCATCACATAGCACTAGAGACATTAAGTAACTTGCCCAGAATAACACTGCCAGTGTGCAGCACAGGTAAGTTTCATGTATCAATTCAACTGGCTCCAAAACTTGCTGAAAGGAAAAGAAGGGTGGGAGAGAGGCGGACAGAGAAGAAGAGTGCCTTTTAGCATCTTCACTAAAACGACCCAAGTAAAAGAAGTTTAGTGTAAAAAAATCCATGTATTTGCTTGTTGTCAAATATTTTTTCCTTAAAATTTCTAACTAGCACTTACTCTTTTGCAAAGTGCTATACCTGATAAAAGTATCTCCTGGATAATATATATAATCTCTATTTTTCATATAACTCCACTATCAAAACTCCACAAAACTCTCAAACTATTTGGTTACATTTTGTTTTTAGTCAACCTTAAGAGCATGTTGAAATTATCAGCTTCCGATTCACAGAACCTTATTTTCATCAGTTTGTATAAGACTTTTCTCTCATTTTATTTTTCTCCTGTCATACTTGAATTCCAATTCTATTGCCTTCCCTGCCCCCGTAGGCCTCCCCCCAAATACTTGACGTGTGTCTTTAAATATGCAGTTACCTGTAAAACCTTTAGTTTGTGTGTGTGTTTCTTCAATTTATATGAGTAACACTGTGTGTAAGTCTCATATTGTTCCTTAATGTTTTTGCTCAACCCTGGCAATTTTAATCTGGTCCCCAACTGCTTCCACCATATCCCTTCATCCAGCTAGGCTGCACCAACTTCCTACAGCCCCAGATGGCAGCACACAGAACTTTTTCTCATGCCTGCATATGTGCCTCTCTATGAACTTTCATCACATCACTGCAGATGGTGACTGCAGCAATGAAATTGAAAGACACTTGCTCCTTGAAAAGAAAAGCTAGGACCAACCTAGACAGCATATTAAAAAGCAAAGACATCACTTTGCCAACAAAGGTCCATATAGTCAAAACTCTGGTTTTTCCAGTAGTCATGTATGGATGTGAGAGTTGGACTATAAGGAAGACTGAGTGCCAAAGAATTGATGCTTTTGAACTGTGGTGTTGGAGAGGACTCTTGAGAGTCCCTTGGACTGCGGAGATCACACCAGTCAATCCTAAAGGAAATCAACCCTGGATTTTCACTGGAAGGACTGACGCTGAAGCTGAAGCTCCCCAATACATCGGCCACCTGATGCAAAGAGCCGACTCACTGGAAAAGACCCTGATGCTGGCAAAGACTGAATGCAGAAGAAGAGGGGGACGACAGAGCATGAGATGGTTGGATGGCATCACCGACTCAGTGGACATGAGTTAGAGCAAACTCCAAGAGATGGCGAAGGACAGGGAAGCCTGGCATGCTGCAGTTCATGGAGTCGCAAAGAGTCAGACATGACTGAGAGACTAGACAACAACAAATAAACGTCGAAGGATTTCTCTGACACATGTACCCAGAAGTGTATATACAGTGTGCTAAATACACTGCAGTGCTTTCCAGAATTTTGTTATCTTCACATTTAATGCAAAAGAGTTTGAACTTCTTCCTCACCAACACAATATTATTCTTTTTCAATTTTTTTCCATTCTTATGAATATAAATTAGATGCTCATTACTGTTATAATTCCCACTTCTCCACTTACTAGTGAGTCTGAGTATTTTTCATGTCTACTGGCTGTTTGGGCTTCTCCTCCCATAAATGCCTATTAATATTTTTTGATCATTTTATAATGGTTCTCTTTCCATTTATTGTTGGTTCATAGAATTCTGTTTATTCTACAAAAATTTTAGATGTTAAACACTGCAAGTATTTTTTCATGGTTTTTCATTCATCTGATAAATATGCCCATGGTGCAGTTAATTTTGTTTTTAGTTTTACATAACTTTTAATTGATTTGCTTTTTTAATGTTACAGACCTTTTTATTGAAGTATAGATGATGTACAATATTATATGAGTTATAGGTGCACAACATAGTAATTCACAGGTTTTAAAGGTTATACTCCATTCATTATAAAATATTGGCTACATTTCCTGTGTTGTACAATATATCCTTATAGTTTATTTATTTTATACATAACAGTTTACAGCTCTTAATCCCCTGCCCCATCTTGCGCCTTCCCCTCCTTCTCCCCCTGGTAACTATTAGTTTGCACTCTGTGTATGGCATACTTAATATTGATTTCATGAAATTCCTTCTTCTTAACTGTTCTTTCTTAACTGTATTTTGGGAGTTTGGCAAAAAGTCCCTATTCCTAGATCTTAAGGATAATGCCTTACATTTTGTATATATTAGTGCTCTGTCTCTCTCTGTATTCATACACACAAACATATGCACCAAAATCTTCAACGAGCAACATATTTAGTACAGAAAAATCATTTATCCACTGATAAGACAAGGAGCTCTTTCAGTACTACTATTTAAATGGAGCTTCTGCCTAAAGGAAAGGAAAAAGATAACAGAAGGAATCAGTTAAAACTAAAGTGAACATTGTTTCAGACTTCTTGGTTGCTTGAATGGAAGGATGTAGAAAAGGGAGAAAGCAAAGCAAAGCTTTGCTATACTAGTGTTCATCAAAGTATCAGGATATCCTCATTGGAATAACAGAACACCAGGATGTTCATCACCCCAGGATGTTTGCTAAAGCATTTCTATGTTTCTTTAGACCAATGATCATTGTGTCAGTAAAGAGTTACAGAAATAGATCCCAAAGAAATGTCAATCAAATAGTTCCTAGATTGGGGATGGGGGCATGGGGACAGGGCTGGATGACAAATGCAAAAATCCCATCATTTGAAATTCTCACAAGTTCTCTATTCAAAGAGCATGTTTTCATATTTTTTAGCTACTCTGAGCCTCGTCAATGGATAGCCACCTTTGGTACTTCCACAACATCTCCTCAACAGAGAGTAGGAGTAACGAGAATTTTAATCCATGACAATTATAACCCTGAAACTCATGAAAATGATATTGCACTTGTACAACTTGATAGAGAAGTCACTTATACCAGATATATTCATAGAGTGTGTCTCCCAGAGGCTAACCAGGCCATTTCACCCGGCTCCACTGCTTATGTAACAGGATGGGGATCTCAGAGTTATAGCGGTGAGTATCTCAGGAAGAATAAAGACAACAGCAATATCTCCTGGTACTTGCCACTGTGCATTTTTTTCTAATCAAGGGACACCTAAAAGGCAGGTTCTACAGAGAGAACCATCCTACAGTTTGATCATCCTAAGCTCTAACAAGACTTCCCTCAGCAAAGAAAAGTGCTATCCCTAGAAGCTACAGGGAATTCTCAAATATAGTAATAGGGAAATGTGAAAGGAAGTGACAAAGAAATATGAGCTCTTCAATGATCCAGAGACTCTATAAGGACTCAAGTAGCACTCCTAAAAAGAAAGTTTTAAAAATTTAAGATAGAATTTGGATAGGTATCCTCTAAGGGTTTTAACAACCTTTAAGGTATTGCCAGCCATTTAAGTTATTCTGAAATGAAATAAAGTTCTGCCTTTACAGCAAGAAATTCTGTGTGCACACAAGTGTTTTTCACACTTGTTTTTGAAGTGAATAAAATCAGATAAAAAATAAGGATAACATGAAAGAGCAAATATGACCAAGGGGAAAACAAGAGTATCAGCTAGGAAGTGGAAGGGCAGAATTAACAAAATGTGCATGTTTCTACCCATGTTGTAGACCATCTCTGCAAGGAATAAAACAAAAGCCTTATTGTCCTAAAAAATAAAGTTCATTGTATTTTCATGGTCCAAAGTAATTTGGTATATAATAGATAAAATTTGTGCCAATAAGAAAAAATGGTAATGCCATTGCAAAGGAACATCAATATGAATAAATTTATTCTTTAGCCTCGAAACCAGATTGGTTACTCTTTTGTTACTAGATTAAAGGTTACTCAACATGTAATTTTCTAATTCAGAGTCACTCAATGGATATTTCAGATTCTACTAATGTATTTTAAGGAGGCAGATGCTTTTCCCTTAAGGTCTAAGGGGCACTATATCACAAAGCTAAAATAAAACAAACAAAACAAAGATACTGATGTATGTAAAGGGGTTATCTGTCTCTAATGCAGAAATCATTGCTATGGAAAAAACTCCTAGGACATCTTCAATAGCCTTTTTGCTGAATAAGAGATATATTTGGAGTACAAATATTCTTTTCTATATTCACCATAGCATCATTAATTCATCTACCCTGAAGTCCATTTTCTCTCTCCCTTTATACATAACAGGCAGCACAGTTCCAGAACTAGAACAAGCACAGGTCAATATAATAAGTAATAATATATGTAACGCACCAGCTGGTTATAATGGAGCCGTCCTATCTGGAATGCTATGTGCTGGAGTACCTCAAGGTGGAGTGGACGCATGCCAGGTAAGTCAAGACAACCTTATCCATGTCATTGGTCAAGTTTATAAGCACTTCCTAGTGTCTTGCCATGATGGGCACAGAAGTAGTAGTAGTGTTAGTTGCTCAGTCGTGCGCAGCTCTTTGTGACCCCATGGACTGTGTAGCCAGCCAGGCTCCTTTTGTCCATGGAATTCTCCAGGCAAGAATGCTGGAGTGGATTGCCATTCCCTTCTCTAGGGGATCTTCCCGACACAGGGATCGAACCCAGGTCTCCTGCACTGAAGGCAGATTCTTTACCATCTGAGCTACAACATAATTTCACCCTAAATGTCCAGATTTTACAGATTCTTATATGAAATTTTCCTGCATGTCCCACTCTGGGCCTCACTGATTTTCAGCTAAAATACTATAATACCTAGAGTTTATGTCTCAAAATAGCACTTTAGACAAGAATTTATGAGATCCTATTTGTTTTTGTTCATTGATTCTTTTTTTTTTAATTGCATCACTTAATTTCTATGTGCCAGACTTTGTACTTAGATATCACTTGAGCTCAGCAGGTCTATGGTCTAGAAGAGAAAACACAGGCCTAAATGTCTGTTCAGTGAGGTGGTAGAGCTGGCCAAATATAGGAAACATTGCATCTATTAAACTAAGTCCTCTTAGTTTAGTATTTGCTTGCCCTCTCTTGGTAACATGTTTTGCAGAGAAATCTCTTACTATAGAAGAAATAGCAGCAAAACACAGTGATGGGAAAGTGCTGAGAACTGGCAAACTGGAGCACATATGCATTATCTAAAGGAGCCAGGAGCCAGTCAGCTCCACACAGGGCTTGTCATGCAAGCTGGTGATTCAGACACTAAACCCTTCTCCCCATATAAAGCAGTGATTAAGCATGCATGGAAGACTAACTACCAAGAGCAGTCAACTGAATACCAAACTATTCTGGAAGCATACTTGGTAATAATAGCTGACTTTTATTAGTACCGACCATTTAGCAGGATGCACTCAGAGTGCTAGGTGTGTTAAACTCTATTAAACACATAAAATTATTATTTACAGAGGAAGAAGCTGAAATACAGAGGGCTGTTATGTGGCTTACTGGAAATCATATAGTTATTAAGTAGAGGATTAAAACCTAGACCAATTCAAGAACCTCAGATTTAACCCATCATGCAACATGGAAGAGATACCAATTTTTCTCTCCATATGGACTATTACATGTACAAATATTTAGTTGGTTGGTTTATTATCAATATTATAAGCGGCTCGTAAACATTTCATAAGGAATGCTTTACTCATTGCCATATAAATTTCTTTTCTATTATTTACCAAAAAAGGTATTTTTGATATATCAATACTACATATGAAACACTTTGCATTATGCTATGAATAGGAAGATAAAGGAGATTTCTAAAAACATGTTCATTCAATAAATATTTTCTTAGCATCTCCTTTGTGTTAGAAGCTTAGAGTATAGCAGTGTCCAGAACATGTATGACCCCTTCCCTGATGAACCTTAACAGTATAACCTGAAAAACAGACACTGAACAAGTATCATAAATGCAATGAGGGTGGCAGAGATGTGTAACTGCTACAACGGGGGGAGCTGACTCAGGGGGAATAAATTCAAAAGGCATGCACATGGCTAGGGCTAGGGTTAGGGCTTGTATAAAATAATGAAGTAGCAATGAAGGAGAGATACTCAGGGTGTGGGAGCACCGGCAGTAATAAATAATCTAGCCCAAAGCTAGAAGGGGTGACACTGGGGAGGAAAAGTGGAAGTCAGGGGTAACCTCCTGGAGGAGGGGAGCCTGGTCGGGGTAGCAGGCTGGTGAAGTCTAGGAGATGCGCTTCTTCTCTTCTCACGCTTGCTGAAGGAACAACGTGCATACTTGGAGGATTTTTTAAATTTTTGCATGACTTAGTATACAGTATTTCAGCAGGAAATGTAAGACTACTGTCATTATGTATGTGATTTCTACTATCATAGATATCAACTTCTTCATACTTTGGGGTTGTCTTCACGCTTAAATAATCCATCATTCTGTTTCCTTCAGGGTGACTCTGGAGGCCCTCTAGTACAAGAAGACTCACGGCAACACTGGTTCATCGTGGGGATAGTAAGCTGGGGGTATCAGTGTGGTCTGCCAGACAAGCCAGGAGTGTACACTCGAGTGACAGCGTACCGTGACTGGATAACCCAACAAATTGGGATCTAGTGCCATAAACATATCTTGGTTCAAGAGTCTGAATGCAGACATGTCTGTCTAAAATTCTAAAACTTTCTAGCTGCAAAAGAAACTAAGTATCCAATTTTAACATGTTTCATACTATTTAATCTTTCTCTGTTACTATGGGTTTCTATTTTCTCAAGAAAATTACATGAATGTTGCATAGTACTGGGGCTATGTGCCAGGGGAAACATAGTAAACGAGTTACAGAGGTAACAATTATGCTATACTTGTGATGACCAAAGTACTACTAGTGAGAAAAGCAGGTACCTGGAGAGTGGAAACTCCAGGCAACTGCACAAGTCTCCAGGGTCACAGGAGTTTCCTCTAAGGAAGTCTCATCAAAGCTGGGAAAAGGGCAAAGTATAGAAACTTGCAAAGGACAAACTTGTTGATAACATTCAGGACAGAATACCGTGAGGCAAGAAAAAAACTAGCTTTATAAATTTCTAGTTACTTAATATTTTATACGAGGGGTGAGTCCTAAAAGTCATGTATGACATCACTGTAGAGTCACAGAGCAATCTTAATTATCCTGTAGGAACATGCTCCCATGAGAACTAGCCAATGAATTTCAGGCACTTAACAATCCAAACGAGAATATTCACTCCTCATCAGAGAACCAAAGAATTATAATCTTCCTAACTATTAGTTAAAATACCTTCATCTATGTGAATGAGAGAATTTGTCTCCTCCATAGAGAAACTCAGTAAATATACCTACACAACATTCTCAGGTAACTTACAACTGTGTACATACATGGTGCTTTTTAACAACTAAATATGAGTAACTTTAAGATCTAAAGATCACCAATGGCAGTTATTTTTCAAAGTTTAGGAATCCTCTGTAGCTAAACTCGAGTAATGAATTGAAAGCCATGAGAGGAAAAAATGAGAAGGATTGGTTTGCAAAAAAAGTAAAAATAAAAAGGGTAAATAGCTTTATTTCAATACAATTATTGTGGTGAAGAAACTTTTCTCTCTCTCCTTTTTCCTCCCTCTTTCTCCCCCGCCTCCATCCCTCCCTCTCCCCATCTCCTTCCCTCCCTCTTTTAATACATGCACACCCAAAGAACATGCATAAAATGTATTAACATTTAATGGCACAGCAATTTATGTAATATGAATTATGAATGTTACTGAATTTTTATGGGATTCTAGCATGATCATCTATGTGTCAGAGCTTCCTCCTTTTAAAAGCTAATTCATGACACCTGGATGTCAGAATAACTACATGCATTGTGATGAAAATGTCTTGTATTTACTCATGTAAAATTGTGAAGAGACCTCCACTGAAATCATTTACTTTATAGAAGTTGAAAATTTAACTGACTCTCAGTGAAATGTACAAATAAGTACTGGTACACGTTATTCCAAATAAACTATTTTAAAATCATTTCTCTGCCTGAGTATTTATTGGAAGTTATGGTTTATGAAGGACAATCCAAAACAATTTATTTAAAATTGGTTCTCCAACAACAGAACTGACAATTAGACTCTACAGTCTTGGCACTTTCAACTGCCTTGTAATCAAGCTCTATAACTAAGCAAGCATCTCGCTTGATACTTCCTGGCTGCTCCCAATAAGGACAATATTAAACTGGTTATTTACAGTAAGTCTCAAGGGAATGTGTTTGTGCAAGAGTGATGGTGTGTTTTCATGTTTGTGCGTGTGCCTTCACATAATCATAAACATTCTAGTTTCCATTTATTGAAACCTATAAAGGAAAGTACTTATTTAGCAGATTCAATTATTTATTTAAAATATTTAGCAAATATTCATATTTTTATGAAGAGACATTTGAATAAATCCACCTCTCCCATATCATTTCATCTCCAAATTCTCTCATGATGAAGCAAAAACTTTAAATTCACCAGGAACAAAACAAATTATACAGAGCAAAGAAACCAAACTGATCAGAATTCAAATTAAGCAGAAAGTCATTCTGGTGAAAAAGAGAACTGAAATAAATGAGAAATTAATTTAAAAACCAAACAAAGCTCAGGCATTTTCCTACCTCCAATCACACAAGTTAGACTGGAATTACTTATGCAATAAAAATCTGTTGATACAGTATTAATAAATGCTTTTTTCTTGCAAAATTCATCCATCTAATGAGCCATTCATTTTTTTACTCATCTATTTGTTTACCAATAGATTTTGAGCACTTCCAATTTGCCAGGCAAATTGCTGGCCAGCTGAGTCAACTTCAAGGAAAGAATAAGGTAAACAGAAGAAGATGTAAAAGTCCTGAGGTGATTATAAGTTTGTGGGTTTCCCAGGTGGCACTAGTGGTAAAGAACCCACCTGCCAATGCAGGAGACCTAAGAGATGTGGGTTTGATCCCTAGGTTGGGAAGATACCTAGGAGGAGGTTTGGCAACCCACTCCAATATTCTTGCCTGGAAAATCCCATGGACAGAGGAGCCTTGCCAGTTACAGTCCATGGGATCGCAGAGTCAGACATGACTGAGTGACTAACACACAAGAAGTCAGCATGACTGGAGCAAAACTGATAAAAGAAAGACTGGTGTTAGGGGAGGCTGAAGAAATAAATGCAAAGGCAAAATTCTGAAGGGAAATTATATGATTTTTTGTAACCCAACTCCCTTTAATTGCTACTACAAAACTTGTATGTCCTCCAAGTGGCATGTAATCTAAACAATATAATGTTTTCCCAAGTTGTGTCCAGTTCAAGCTCCAGTTGCTTAAGACTGGTGGAGACAGCAGACCCTCCAACCTGGAATGCCTGAGTAACCACTTAGTGACATTTTGAGGTCAGAGGGCCAGGTGCTGCACCCTCAGAACATGCCAACACCACCATTTTATGACCATGAGTTCTATGATGAAGGCTGTAGCTTAGCTACATCTGTGCAGAACCACAATTACCTTATCTTTTTCTTATTTCCAATCATCTTTCCCCATTCTCCCCACACTTCAGACCATCCTGTTTGCTTATCCCAAGTCCCTCCCTTTGGGAAGTCCAATTTGATATTTTGTTCTCCCATGTCCTCACTTGGCCATCTCATGAATATGAAACAAAGTCCCCCTGAAGCTGAGTTCCTCTGCCAAATTTATGATTAACCTCTCTGTCCAAAACTATTTTTTCTTTCTTGCCCCATACCTATTAAGGAGTTTCAAAGAAAAGAGAAGACTGATATTGAGCAGGACCCTGTGGGTTCCTCCTGGGAACAAAAACATTTCCTTGCCACCTCTGTTTCTTGTTCAAAGACTTTCCCTGAGTTCCAAAGAGCACATATAAACTGCTAATAATTAGGAGTGTGAGGGAAAGCAAAAACAAAGGAAAAGCAGCCAAGAAACAATAGTCTAATGATAAATAAGAATATTAGTTCTTCTTTAAATTATATACATAACAATCTCATACTTTTCTTTGAGTTCTTTGACAGGAAGTAAGGCCCTGACCCAGGTGAAGGATGGTAACTTCAGGCTGAGCACAAGCATGTAGACTTTAGATTGGTTGCAACCAGAAGGTTGCTGATTAGGATTCCTGGACCACCACCCTATAACCTCACTACCAACCAATCAGAAGAAAGCCATGCATCCTGCAGCACTCCCCTTAAGTTGGCCTTTAAAGATTCTTCCCTGAAGACTACTGGGGAGCTGAAGTGTTTTGAGCATGAGCCTCCCATACTCCTTGCATGACCCCTGCAATTAGCCTTTCTCTGCCCCAAATTCCAATGTTTCCTTTTGTTTGGTTCCATTGGGCATCGGGCACAGGAACTTGGGTTCAACAACAAATAAACACTTTCTCTGTTGCAACATTCAGTGGACTCAGCATTTGACTTGCTATGCATCAGGCAAATGAACCTCATTTGGTTTCACTGGCTACTCTGGAAAGAAAGGTAAAGAGGACGAGAAGAAGGGAGACAGAAGACTAATGCAGTAATCGAAGGAAAAGATGAGACTGACTTGGATTAAAGAGCTAACAGTGAAGATGGTGACAAATAATGCCATTCAGAAAATATATGTAAGGAGAAATAACAAGAGTTTCTGATAGACTAGATTTAGATGCTGAGAAAAGGAAAAAATCAAGGTTGACTCAAATTAGGAGTTTGAACCACTGAGATGAAATTTGAGAGGAGTAAGTTTGGCTCAGGGGTGGAGAATTGGCAATTTCTTTCTGAATCTGTTACATTTTAAATATACAAGTAATAACGTCAAGTAAACAACTGTAAATGTAAATACATATATGTAGCTCTGGGGAGAGACTGAGACCTTAAATATCTCTTTGATGGCAATTACAGTTTCAGGGAAGTGGGGGACAAAAACCATGTTGGATGACTAGAAGAGGGAATGGGAAACACAGCTTTTGGAAAATGGAAGGAAATATCTTGATGATCAAGAAATATTTTGGTAGCTAAAGAAGATGATTTTAGCATCACAACAGAAAGGGATTTAAATGAAAGAAGTTAAATTTTATTTTCTTAAAATTCAGAACTTTCTACCCAAAAGACACTATTAAGGAATAAAAAAGTCAAAATGACAGAGTGAGAAGATATTTGCAATATACATAACCGATACCATGTATCTAGAATGCATAGGGCATACTACAGATCAAAAGGAAAAAGATAATTCAAAAGAAAAATGGAAAAAGATTGAAAAGGCATATCAGGAAAAAAGAAGTTCAAGTGGCTGGCAATGTAAGATGAGGGGTTTAACCTTATTAGAAATAAAAAAATGTAAAATAAAGCCACTGTAATGTATCACAGCTACACATTTACCAATGGATAAAAATGGAAAGTCTGACGATATCAAGCATTGGTAAGGATATTGCTGTTTAGCCACTAAATCATATTTTGACTCACTTGCAGCCCCATGGGCTGTAGTCCACCAGGCTCCTCTGTCGTGAGATTTCCCAGGCAAGAATACTGGCGTAGGTGGCCATTTCCTTCTCCAGGGAATCTTTCCAATGAAGGGATCAAACCCACCTCTCCTGCATTGCGGGTGGATTCCTTACAACTGAGCTGCCAGGGGCTCACTGGTAAGGATGGGAGAGGGTAAATTTCTTTAACTTGAAAAAAAAATGACATTATCAAACAAAGAATATCATATGCATATCCTACAATACAGCCATTTTATTCCAAAGTGAAAACTCTAGAAATGGTTGCACATGTGCAGGAATATTCAAAGCAGTATTATTCTTCACAGCCAAGCAGTGGAAACGACCAAATGTCCATCAACAGTAAAATGGATAAATAAATCTTATTTTTCATACAATGGAATACAATACAGCAATAAAAATGAACAGACTAGAGTCACACCTAACAACATGACTGAACCTTAGAAAAACACAAAGTTAATGAAAGAAGCCAGTCACTAAAGAATATAAACCATATTATTTGCTTAAAATTATATATTTTTAGGAATTCATTGTTACTTATTAAAATATATTTTTTAAAGCAAGTAATTAATTACCAAAAGATATAAGACAATATTTACCTTTAGAGTTGCAGGGTAGAATTGTAATCATGAAGGGAAAACCTGGTTTGTTAGCAAAGGTTTGTGGGTGTATGCTTTGTAGTAAGCCATTAAGTTGCATATATAAGTTTTATTTGCTTTCTTATATATGTATTGCTTTTCACATCACTGATACAGAATATCTGTGAGCATTCCACACATGGTGAGGGAAAGTAATCTATAATTCTCAGATCATCCAGGAAAGAATGTTTGAAGAAAATATATGAAATTTTTTAAAGTATATATCATGACAAACAACAGAAAAGACCATTTTATTTCTGCTCACAATTCACACTAATCTTTTAAAACTTGTTTTTATTTGAATTTTAAATATTTGGCAGGATTGCCTGGCAATGTTACCACTGCTATTATACATAAACATTCCTAATGTGCATGCACTGCTCTGCTTAGTCATTCAGTCGTGTCCGACTCTTTGCTACCCCCATGGACTGTAGCCTGCCAGGCTCCTCTGTCCATGGAATTTTCCAGGCAAGAATACTGGAGCAGGTTTGTCATTTCCCACTTCAGGGGATCTTCCCAACCCAGGGACTGAACCCAGGTCTCCAGCATTGCAGGCGGATTCTTTACAAGCTGAGCCACCAGAGAAGCCCAAGAATACTGGAATGGATAGCCTATCCCTTCCCCAGGAGATCTTTCCAACCCTGGAACTGAACTGGGATCTCCTGCAATTGCAGGTAGACTCTTGACCAGCTGAGCTATCAGGGGAGCACTCTAATGTGCATAGTACTATTCAAATATCTGACTCTATTTCTTCCACAATTAGCAGTTTCCCTAAACTGTAAGTTTTTGAGTGCAAAATAAAAAGATACATAAAACCCCATTTTGTAACAAGAGGCCAGATCAAATGATTAGAGATAAATCATATTCAACGCTTCAGCTTAAATAATTGTT